CTTCGTTCAGTTACTTATTGTTGCTGCCTAACCCTAACCCTAACCTAACCCTAACCTAACCTAACCCTAACCCTACCCTACTCCTAACCCTAACCCTAACCCTAACCCTAACCCTAACCCTAACCCTAACCCTAACCCTAACCCTAACCCTAACCCTAACCCTAACCCTAACCCTAACCCTAACCCTAACCCTAACCCTAACCCTAACCCTAACCCTAACCCTAACCCTAACCCTAACCCTAACCCTAACCCTAACCCTAACCCTAACCCTAACCCTAACCCTAACCCTAACCCTAACCCTAACCCTAGTAAGATATAAATTAAATATAATAACTTATTAATATATATATAATATTTATAATTAATAATTTCTATATATTAATATAACTAAATATCTTTTATTATATATAATATATTTTTAATATAATATAATATTTTATAATATTTAATTAGTTATTTTATATATTTTAATAAAATATTATATTAATAGATATATATTATATAATAAATATATATTATTATAGTTAGTAAATTATAAAAAATATATCTATTAATAATTATTAGATAATATCTAGTTAATAAATAAAATAAAGAAATAGTAATATTTTTATTATAATAAAAATTATATTACTTATTTATAGCTATCTAAAAGTTAGGTAATAAGGTAGTATTATCTACTTTTTTATAGTAATTATTAAGTCTACTAAGTAGTAGTTATATATTTATATAATATTATAGCTATTATTAAAAGTAGAAGTTAGATATTAATTATAAGTAAGTAAGTTAGTTTTACCTTCTTAGCTACTTATCTATATAATAACCTCTCTCCTATTTTCTTAGATCTTAGATAGTAATTATATAAGCTAGTAGGTAATCTTTAGCTAATATATATAAGCTATAATAGAATACTATAAGCTAGCTATAGCTATTAAAGTATTTTAGTATAATACTTTTAGATAAATATAATAAAGATTATTAAATAAAATATATAAATAGTTTTAAAAAATTAAATAGTCTTTAATAAATAATTATTTTCTTTAATTATATATTTATAAAAATATAGTAAATTATAAAAATATTATATTATATTATTTATATAATCTCTATTTAATTTTTATACTTATATTTATTTATTTAATCCTCTTATATAAAGAAATATTATATTATAAAATTAGTTTTACTTTTTAATATTATTAGATTTTTTAAAACTTTTATAAAATTTTACTTATTAAAAATATTTATATTATTTTTATAAAAATAATATATTTAGTTTTATATGTTTTTAAAAATATAAGAAATCTATTATATTATAAAAATAAAGTAATTTTTTATATTAGATTATTATTATATTTGAATTTAAAATTTAAAATCTTTTAATAATAATATATTAACTTAAATTAGTTTTAATAAATATATTATATAATAAAATATAGTTTTATAATATATATATTATTTTATTTATAAATTTACTTTTTATTATTATTTTTAAAAATATAAATTAATTCTTTAATTTTTAACCTTATATTTCTTTTATTAAATATTATTTTTTAAAAAGCTTTTTTTTATTTTACTTTCTTTTTATAATTATAACCTTTAAAAATAATAACTATTTATTTATATAAATATAAGTTTTAATATTTATAGATATTTTCTATATTTATCTATTATATTTATATTATTTATTAATATTCTTCTTAATTTAATTATTAGTTAACTTAGCTAATTTATTATAATTTTAGAACTTTTATCTTAGGAGAATTATATAGAATATTTAAATATTATAAAGAAAAAGAATATTTACTTTTAATTATATTAATATTTTCTTTATATATAAAGAACTCTCTTTTTAAAATAAAATTCTATAAAGTATTAATATCTATAGTTAAGTTAAATTATATCTTTTAAAACTATATTTAAAATAGAATTATTATTTAAATAATACTATTTTACTTTTAGTTTACTTCCTACTAATTTACTACTTATAAATAGGTAGTTTAATCTTTTATATTAATAATTAGAAACTTTATCTAATAATATATATTTATATTTAATATCCCCTTCTCCTAACTCTACTAAAGCCTAAGGAATACTTAACCCTCTATACTATAATCCTCCTATACCTTATAAAATATTCTATCATTTTCTTATATACTATAGGGTTAATATTACTCTAGTCACTATCATCCCCTACTATAGCCTCTATACACCCCCGCGCGTATTGCGATCTCCTACCACGATAAGTGCACCTTAGTGGCGTGTTAGGGACACATAGATATGCCTCGCATTTACTATAAACTTAGGGCTAGAGGCTTCCATAACGACTAACATAACGATAGCTATAAGGGCCTCTCAGCCTTAGAATAAGTCTATTGTTATAATAGGCACATTATAGACTATGGAATCTATATGCTAACTTATACTTTACTCTATATATACTAGGTTCTAGTAGTAGGGGGTTATAAAGATAATATTATATGACTTTATACCTATAGCTGAGATCAGCTTGGCTATGAGGGCGATAGTAGTATCAGACTAGATAGGGTTGAAGCTAGACAGTATCTACTAGTCTATATTGCAGACCAACTTAGGATAGTATAGGAAAATTAGGAGGGAGGTTCCTAGTGGGGCTGCCTTTAGCTGATATCTCAACTCTAACCATTTGTTAATGCGCTCCACCTCCCCTACCCTAGTATAAGCAGCTATAGGAGAGTATATAAAGTCTATAAGGTCAGGGTAGATAACATCATATATAATATCAAATAGGCTATAAGATATACGCATCTGATACAAGAGGACAAAGTAAGGCTAACTAGTTACCTTAAAGTGCTTAAGAATAGACACCCTCCTATCCTTACCAAAGCAGTTGTAGAAGAATTTCTTCCCTTCTCCAATACACTATGACTCTATCATAATAGTTAGGGAGCTACCTTTTATCACCAGCTATAAAACAAGGCTTGCCACTATCAGCTTAAACGAGGAGCGTATCGGCGCGGTGCATGGCGCCTGCCTCATCGAGGACAACCACTCTAGCATAGTTGGTCTTAAAGCGCTTATACAGGTTAGCGCCTGATGCGTGCGGCATCGTGCATACCACATACGCTATTAGTACCACTTCTGTTAATAGTTGCTGAAGGAGGGCGCTAGGGCTCTGCTTCCCTTCACCGCTGCTGTCACTTTCGTCGCTGTCCTCGCCTTCATCTGATGGCGAATCGTCGCCGACTATAGCAGTCGGATGATCCACAGCACTCAGCTGATAGGGCTTGCAGTTAGGCACAGTAGGCTCAGGGTTATAAACTTTATCCTATGGGATGGTTCCCTAGTAGAAGTCATATATAACCGAGAACGCCACTTCATTCCGCACGCGGACAGCCAGGGCTGCTACATCTAGAGGATCTGACGACCTGATCCTATACCTCCCTACTCTAAAGATCTTCAGCAGCTACTCACAACTAGAGTTTTCAAGATGCTAATAGCTTCAGCTGCTTTAGGACCAGCATTCCAAAGACTATCCTTAGTTGATTCTTCCTACAGCTTTAATAAAGGCTGACACCTCATCCTAAAGTCCAAAGCCCTATATAATCAGACGCCTTGGCAGGCTGAGCTTATCGGTAATGGCGTCACTGATATAGTATAGGTGATGCGCGAGGTTAGATATCGCTACATATATCAGGGCCGCGGCGTAGACTGCATAGATGTTTGGGTTAGCTAGTAGCAGCATAGACGTAATGGCGAGCGTCTCCGTCTTGCCAGAACCAGCAAAGCTAAAGATATATGCTAACCCTATTAGGATAAACTCAAGATACCTGCGCAACCTCTCTTTCGTAGGGTCCAGGAGGCGCTTGAATATCGCCTCAACCTCTAGTATCTTATATAGACTGATAATATCTATAATAGGTAGTCTAAGGTTAATAGTAATAGGATTAGTGCTTATCTGATCTCCTTACCTACTACCCTAGTACTTAAGGAGTGAGGGGAATCTAGATCTATAGAGTAACTCTTACCTGATATAGTGAATCTGTACTAGTACTAGCCTAGTGAGGGGGAGCATATCTTACTAAGGTAGGGTAGAAGAGGGCAGGCTATCACTATATAGTGACACTATAGTGGCGTTCACCCTACACTTTATAACAGCGACGTTATTATCAAACTGTATATATATGTATATCATATCCGCAGGGTCAAGCGAGTACTGCTACTTGCTGATAAATAGCATATAGGTGCCACTGCTGATATCAATCATATCGCTTGAGGTGGGCCTTATTACTCAGATAATGATGTTCCCTATATACTTAACCCCTTTAAGCGTGACGGGCGCCACCACGCCCTTCTAAGAAGATGATGCTGGCGTAACTGCCTCCCACTGCTAGATATCTTACTTAGGAGGTGTAGTAAATTTGATAGATGCCTATACTCTAACCTTAGCGATATGTTAAAGGGTATCTATATATTTTAAAGCCTAGTAATAATATAATATTTTAGTCTACTAGGATATACTAGGGGCTAGCTTTTAATTAACTTACTAAGTTAGGCGGGAGTATGGTTATATTGAAAAATATATGGCTATATTCGACCGACTGTTCTATATCTACGTTAATGAAGCAGAATTATAGGCAGTGGGCGCGAATAGCCTTAATATCAGTGAGTATAAAATAAACATCCTAGACGACATATTGTGTGATGGCTGTCACCTGGTCGTGGATTAAGTATATCTTAAGTATTAGGGTGAGCTATGATGTTAAGAGATTAGGTAGGATAGTCTTAGTATACCACTTCATATCCTATCTGAACCTAATATAACTAAAGGTGGTAGGCGTCAGTCTTCAGAGTATATAAGAGGAATCAGGTAGGCCCCTTAAGTATAGGAATCTTCACAACTTACTTATAGCTATAGGCTCTAAGGGTATTAGGCTGATAGGGAGGAGGGATGTCCCTTGCGAAGTTGTCCTTTACCTTACCCTATATACTATCATCTGCGAACAGGATTATATATGATTCCTATTTAAGGATCTAACCTAAGGGGGCAACGCCTTCGATAAATAACGTTCCCACAGCCCACAAGTTGGCGGCACTATATCTGATATAGGGAAGGCCTATACTATCTACCCTATAGGGACCTATAACTTTAATTGTCAGGTAGAAGTATCCGTAGGGGTTAGGTGATGCGGGTAGCTGAAGCTTTACTATAAGTCTAGCATCAATATATTACCCTAGCCCAGACACCTCAAAATACCTAGGCTAAAGCTTAATGATAATGTTTAAAGATATGCTAACTATACTTCCCTAGTTAGGAAGGTAGAATTGCGTAAAATTAACAGGGTCCTAGGGGAAGTGGAATCTAATTCTAATATATAGATAGCCTTACTTTATCAAGTTAACTAGGAAGTCTACATGAAGGTAGGTGCAATCTAAACTAAAGCTATCACTACTAATTATTTTTCCTTCTTCTTTATATAGTAGCACACATCACCTCTTATTAACTAATAACATTATAATTATAAAGCCTAAAGGTTTAGTGGCCTGAGGTCGAAGGGCAAGCTGGTGATGTGAGCTTAGCAGGAGTAGTTATGGTCGTGGTTGTATGCAGATAAATAAGGGCTTAAATAAAGAGAATATGAAAAAGACCTATAGCTGATACTAATAGGAGATTATGATCTTCAGTAGCCTAGATTAGGTGAGACTTGAGTGCGGCGTCAGACGAACTATATCAGCTGCACTAAACGTTAGTAGATCAAAGTAAAAAAATTTCCCATAATAGCTAGGGTAATTAGAGGAAGAGTACTTATATATAGCAGCCTTCCTTAATTAGAGGGAGGGAGGGAGGCGTCAGCAGAAGGTGGTTTTGGCGCGTGTTAAGAGAAATAAATATAGATATGGAGGGGGAAGGAAAAAAAAAAAAAAGGTTACTTCTAGCATACGAATTTGATGTAGTGATATTTATCATCAGCTCAGCTTGATTGTTTCTGCTACTCTAGTCGCGTCATAGTACTGACTTCTTGACCTGCGATGTTTGTTATTATAGGCCCAGCTTAATCAATTTTACTACTCTAGTCATCTATGATAGCACAGCGCCCACTACCCTAGCCATAACTGTCATATGCGTACGCTCGTTTCTCCTGCTCTAGTCGCGTCATAGCGCCGACTTCTCAACCCACGATATTTATTATTATAAGCCTAGCTCAATCAATTTTACTACTCTACTATGTAGTCATCTATGATGGCACAGCGCCCGCTACCCCAGCTATAACTATCATGTGCATACGCTCGTTTCTCCTGCTCTAGTCGTGTCATAGCGCTGACTTCTCGACCCGCAATGTTTATTATTATAAGCCTAGCTTGATCAATTTTACTACTCTACTATATAGTCATCTATGATAGCACAGCGCCCGCTACCCTAGCCATAACTATCATATGCATACGCTCGTTTCTCCTGCTCTAGTCATATCACAGCGCCGACTTCTTAACCTACAATGTTTATTATTATAAGCCTAGCTCAATCAATTTTACTACTCTACTACATAGTCATCTATAATGGCATAGCGCCCGCTGCCCTAGCTATAACTGTCATGTGCATACGCTCGTTTCTCCTACTCAGCCTAGTCGCGTCACAGCGCCGACTTCTTAACCTGCGATGTTTATTATCATAGGCCCAGCTTAATCAATTTTACTACTCTACTATATACCCCTCCTTAATCAATTGAATTTCATAGTCTTTATATTAAATTGAATTTTAAGTGCGCTCTTGATCAATTAAAGCTCCTACTTCTACTTAAGAATCTAATCTACTTATACTACTTCTCGATAAGTAAAAATATTTATACCTTTCTAAGCTAAATTAAAGCCTTTGCGCTTCCTTCTTAATTAATTAAAGCGCCGCCTATGCTCCTACGACGTTGACAGCAGGCCCCGCTTTGCTGGATAGGCCTTCCACCTATATCTGAAGTTATTTCCTAAAATAGCAGTGGCGGGAACAGTGGTGTGCCTGACATAGCTATAATTCGTCGCGCTCTATGCCGCCCTTGCCGACGATGGAGTTGGCGGTAGGCCCACCTACCCCGGCGGCGCAGGCCGACAGCAATATCAGCGATGCTGAGCTAGCAGTGGTGACATTAATAAAGGGTTAGTTTTAATCCCCGCGCTACTGGGAATCGTTAGTTAATATTATAAGATTAATTAAATTTATTCTATAAACTTCACAGGCCTTTATAATTATCATAAACTAATCTAGGTTATTAGGCAGCATCTTTAAACTCCTTTTCCACTCTATAGGTATGATATCCATGTTATAGTAGCTTTAGTAGACAACAACTTAAACAATGGCAGTAATATTACAATCGCCTAGCATAGTAGAATCGAATACTGTACCTTCCCATTTAAACGTACTATATACTATTTGGTGGGCGCGCTGCGCGCTTATGAACCGCGCCCTTGCTCTAGTTAGAAGAAAAAATTTTCCACTCTATGGGCGCGATATCCACGCGACAGCTGCTTTGGCAGACAACAACAACGGCAGCAACATCACGATCGCCCAGCGCAGTAGAATCGAATACTACACCTTCCTATTTAAACATACTATATACTATTTAGTGGGCGCGCTGCGCGCTCATGAACCGCGCCCTTGCTCTAGTTAGAAGAAAAAATTTTCCGCTCTATGGGCGCGATATCCACGCGACAGCTGCTTTAGCAGATAACAACAACGGCAGCAACATCACGATCGCCTAGCGCAGCAGAATCGAATACTGCACCTTCCCATTTAAACATACTACATACTGTTTGGTGGGCGCGCTGCGCGCTCATGAACCACGCCCTTCCCTTGCTCCAGTTAGAAAAAAATTTTCCGCTCCATGGGCGCGCAACAACAGCGGCAACATCACGATCGCCCAGCGCAGCAGAATCGAATACTGCACCTTCCCATTTGAATATACTATACACTATTTGGTGGGCGCGCTGCGCGCTTATGAACCGCGCCCTTACTCCAGTTAGAAGAAAAATTTTCCGCTCCATAGGCGCGCAATAACAGCGGCAACATCATAATCGCCCAGCGCAGCAGAATCGAATACTGCACCTTCCCATTTGAATATACTATATACTATTTGGTGGGCGCGCTGCGCGCTCATAAACCACGCCCTTACTCTAGTTAGAAGAAAAATTTTCTTCCTATAACATAACATTGTTCCACACGCCTTCCAACCACGCCTCCCACATCCCCACCTACGCTCCCTTACTTAGTCTTCCTCCCTCTATTACTTAGTCTTCCTCCCTCCCTCACTTCTTCTTCTTCTTCCTCTCTCCCTTACTTCTTCTTCCTCCCTTTAATATATACCTTTCTTTCCCCCTTACCTTTCAGCATCACCAAGGCAAATCTACCTTGCCCCCCTCCAATCCTTCTTCCGCCCACATTTCCAAAAGGTTTGTTCACTACCTTCGCTAGCAGGCATATCTCAATTAGGTAAGCCCTTACATTCCTCCCTAGCGCTATAGCCGGCATTATCCCAGATGTGATAGCTAACTCTATTCTCAGTAGGATTCGATTAGCTAATTTCAGTATCAGGTATATAGGTAATCAATCAATTGACACTTCCCTTTGCTTATCATATTATTCCTGGTCAGTAGTATACTTACTAGGATTGAAAGCTTAAAACCCCTTACCTTTACCAGCTTATTGGAATTCCTAAGTAATAACCCACATTAGCATTACCTTACTGGCTAATTGCTATATACTTTCAACACCCCTGCCCTTCGCAAAACCAGGTAAGCATGAGCATAAATTAGCCTAACAATTACCTACACTTCCTTAACAGTTTACTAGAGTCTAGAAGCTGATATTATTACCCTATATACTAGACCTTACCACCTTACCCTAGGTACCCTTAAAGTGTTAGCATCGCCTCACTATAATTGACTACTCCGTTTTTTTCCTTCCCTACCTTAACTACCTTAACCCCTAACGACCCTATATACTTTACCTACGATGGCCTCTATCAATACTACGCAGCCACGAAAGTAGAAGCGCCTAGAATATAGTGGAGAAGGTGGGCGGTTGCCAGATGA